AGCCGTCTTTCAACTTTTTAGAGTAATGTCACCGACTTACAATTCACCGATAGTGCCACCATTTTGAAAACGTATTTCACACTTCAAAATCCATCTCCTCCTACAATTCGTATTTTTGTATTTTTGCAAACCATTCACGATTTGCAATAGATGGTTGTGAGTAAAATTTTGATTTTGGATCTAGATTTTTTTTTAAAGTGACGTCATATAATTTCTGTTAATAACTTCTAGAGTTATGAGCCTGATCAGTATGAAATTGATATCAGTGTCTTGTAAATGCTCCTATTACCTACAAAAGAACAAATAAGCGACAACCCTTGTCGATTGCCGGGCGATTTAGCTGTTGTTGACGTATGTTTCATTGCCTGGCAAACTATCTTTTATTCTTGCGAAATTCGCATTTTATCGCAACCAAGTCGACAAAGCATTGAAATCCAACGGAAACAATAACTTAGCTCCAGATATCGCCAAAATAAAGGAAATGCATATATCCGAGAATTTTTGAAGGAATGGAACTTCCTTGTTAGAAAATATTAGTCTTTTTCGATTCAGTTAATCTAAATGTTTAATTATATGCTTTAACCTACATTCCCAAATATATAATACAATTTACAGGTGAGCAATCTGATTAAAATACAGATCTATATTTCGTTTCGGTTTTTTATACTTTCGATGGCCTCTACTACATGAAGATCTGACCGGTTGTTGCGATAGGTCACGTCAGAGGTCATACGAGCGGCAAGTGAGACGAAGACGTCAGACATTTTGATTAACCAATCAGTATTAGTGTTACTAGTGGATTACCCACAGTTCCGTGCAAAACACGCCGTAACAGACTATTCAGAACACGTCAATGATAACAACTCTTCCAGATCCTAGTGTAGTAAAGACAAGTAAAACGTAATTTTGAACTATAAAAACGAAACGAAATAGGATCTGTGTTTTAATCAGATTGACAGGTGAGAGTTCTGATTTTGGAATGGTGTATAACTTCTTTGTTAGGCATTTAGTACTTGAACATATTGACACAATGTGCAATTTTTATACGCCCACATTTTCATGTGGACGTATATTGTCGTCGCCTCTGTCCGTCCGTCCGTCCACAATTGTTTGTGAACACTCTACAGGTCACCATTTTTATCCAATTTCAATGAAAATTGAAATATAGGTTTATCACACTAAGATCTCGGTTCCTTGGCATGTATCGGACTGTAACTTCATGGATTATGGCCCCTGATTGTACGAAAAATCACGTTTTTAGCTTGTGAACACTGTAGAGGTCACCATTTTTATCCGATTTGGTTTAAACTTGAAATGTATGTTTATAACCCACCAGGGCTGGGGTAATGGTAATGGCAATGGAATGTAATCATTACATCTTTTAAGTAATGGCCATGTAATGAGTAATGGAAGATTTCAAAAGTAATAAGTAATGGAAATGTTATTAATTACATTCGAAAAATCATGTAATGGTCAATTATATTTCAATTACTTTTCAATAACATTTTATGGCACATATAAATATTTCCAATATAACTAGCCTCAAATTGTATAGCATCAAAGAAGTAAACTAAGTGTACCTGACACAAATCCAATTCATTATAATTTTAAAAAAAAGATTTAGGTCAGTTTTAACAAATTGTAATAAGAATAAGAAAGCATTAAACATTTTTTTTTATAATTTTATTATGTACATGTAAGACCCTTTTTTAGACATGTAACCTAAAATGTGGATTTCTGAATAGATGTATATTGTAATCAAAGATTAGTGCTAATTTGCAGGCAATCACATAGTCAATCAATCAATCAGTTAGATTAAAAGACAATAGTCTTACTAAACTTTAGTCTTAATCTCAAGGTAACAAGTGAAATACCAAACAATGGCCTTCAAGTATCTCATCATTTTATGGTTACTTAATATAAAACATACATATATTTTGTTTTAGAGTCATGCTGAATAATTCATCAGCAATACAATTATTATAGAAAAACTATTTGGATTGATAAAGAATTTTATAAAATTACTTTAAAAAAAATAATGTTAATTAACTATACTTTCAATTCGTACAGTGAAAAAATCAGTTGTTGTCACCACTGCCCGTCACTTGAATGTTATAATATATAGAAATAACAATTCATACACAAATATCTATTATTGTGAATCGAGAATTATTATCGAGTTTGATTTTGTAGGCGCTTCATTGCAGAAAAATGAGGATGTTTTTATACGCCCACATTTTCATGTGGACGTGTATGTCGTCGCCCCTGTCCGTCCGGAGGTCCGTCCGTCCGTCCACAATTTGTTTGTGGACTCTCTACAGGTCACAATTCTTGTCCGATTTTGACAAAACTTGAAATATAGGTTTATCCCCACAAGATCTCGACTGCTTTCGATATTGGCATGTATCGGATCGAAACTTCATGGATTATGGCCCCTGTTTGTACCAGAAATCATGTTTTTAGCTTGTGGACCCTAAAGAGGTCACAATTTTTATCCGATTTTGTTGAAACTTGAAATGTAAGTTTATAACCCAAAAATCTCAGTTCCTGTCGATATTTGTGCATATCGGACCGTAACTTCCTGAATTATGGCCCCTGATTGTACGAAAAATCACATTTTTAGCTTGTGGACCCTATAAAGGTCATAATTTTTTATCCGATTTAAAACAACGTATTATTATATCACCGTTACACCCTAAGGAAGGTTGAGTTCGAATTTCGTGAAAATCGAACCAAAATTGCCAGACAAAATGGCCGCCGTTTGTACGTGAATAGTGTAAAAATATGGTATATCAAGGTTGTGGATCCTCTCTAGAGGTCGCAATTTTAATTTGATTTTGATGAAACTTGAAATGCATGTTTATAACCTAAAGATCTTGGTTCCTTTCGATATTGTCTCATATCGGATCGTAACGATATTGTCGTCGCCCCTGTCCGTCCGTCCTTCCAAAATTTTTATCCGATTTCAAAGAAACTTGAAATATAGCTTTATCTCCCTAAGATCTTGGTTCCTTTCGATATTGGCATGTATCATACTTTAACTTCATGAATTATGGCCCCTGATTGTACGAAAAATCACGTTTTTAGCTTGTAGACCCTATAGAGGTCACAATTTTTATCCGATTTTGTTGAAGCTTGAAATGGAAGTTTATAACCCAAAGATCTTGGTTCCTTTCGATATTCGCGCATATTGGACTGTAACTTCCTGAATTATGGCCCCTGATTGTACGAAAAATCGCGTTTTTTAGCTTGTGGACCCGCTAGAAGTCACAATTTGTATACAATATTAAAAAACATTTAAATTTATCACCGTTGCACATCAATGACGGTTGGGTTCGAAATTTTGTAAAAATATTTAAGAATATCAGACCAAAACCTGCTGAATTATGGCCCCTTATTGTACGAAAAGTCGTGTTTCTAAGTTGTGGACCCTCTAGAGACTACAATTTTTATCTGATTTAAAAAAAAAGTACAAATATATCACGGTCACACCATAATGATTGTTGGCTTCGAATTTCATGAAAATCGGACTGAAACTGACCAACAATGGCCACCCCCGATACAGTATAGAATACAAGGTTGTGGATCTTCTACAGGTAAGAATTTTTAGCTGATTTTGACGAAACTTAAAATATATGTTTATTACCCAAAGATCTTGGTTCCTTTTGATATTTGCACATATCAGACCGTAATTTCCAGAATTATGGCCCCTAATAGTACGAAAAAGTGCATCATTAGCTTGTGGATACTTTTGAGGTCACAATTTTTATCCGATTAAAAAACGTTCACAAATATTACACCCTAATGACGATTGAGTTTATATTTCATGAAAATTGCACCGAAAATGGCCGCTCCGCAGTGCTAATAGTGTAAACCAGGTATGTATATCAAGGTTGTGGACCCTCTGGAGATCACAATTTTGATCAGATTTTTATGAAACTTAAAATATATGTTTATATCCCAAAGGTCTCAGTTCCTTTTGATATTGACGCATATCGGATTGTAACTTCATGGATTATGGCTCCTGATGGAACGAAAATATATCAATGTTACACCATCAAGATATTTGAATTTCATGAAAATCAAACCGAAACAACTGTCCAACAAAATGTCCGTTCCAGTAGGCCTACTCAAATAGTGTAAAAATATGTAATATATTCATATACCATTGTTAACAAAAGTTTCATTTTATTTTACTTTCAAATTAATATCCATTCTTTGTCATTATGATTTTGTCATATTATAATCTTTATTTCTACTGCCTATTAGTTTGTACATTATTGCCTAATAAAGGATTTTAGTCTGAAAATTAATTAGTTTTGATTTATGCACCACATGACCTACAGAAAAGATGCTTATATCACAATCACCATCAACATAAGTGTGGTAAATATACAACATGATAATAATTCAACATGATAATTAATCAGTTGAATAAATCCTAGTAAACAAGGTGTAGCCTATCCTCATTTATATTGATCCTATGCAATCTGTCTTTTTCATTTGTTCCTCTCTTTCTCTTACTCCTGATTAAAATGACATAAGGGAATATTAGTATTACACTAAAGGATAATTGAAATATTAATTATTGCTATCACATTTAATTTATTATTGTGCCAATAATTCATTGCTTCAAAATAGATGCAAAAAAATTTACAAGCTTAATTTATTTTTGTGAGGGGTGGGGGATTGATAATTTCGTTTTCCGTCTAATCGGATCTGAAATTTTGATAGGCCTTTTGATTCGCTCTTCTCTCACTCTGCCTCGCGGTGATTAAAATGACAATGGAATATTTTACCAACGATAATTGAAATATTAATTATGGCTATGTCATTTAATTTATTATGCAAATAATTCATGGCTTAAAAATAGATGCAAAAGAAATTAAAAGCTTAATTCAATTTTTTGGGATGGGGAGTGGTGGAGAATTGATCATTTCGTTTTCCGTCTTATCGGATCTGAAATTTAGAAAAACCAAAAACGTGTTCAAATGCTTGAAATGGCGTCATGTGTTGGTCCTTGCAGTTTGTCTGCCAGAGATTAATTTACATTCCGTAGACTTTGGTACGGTAGGTTATTTTATATATAGTATAGTAAGGTATTTATTATTAATTACCATTTTCTTGCAAATACACATATGTCCATTAGCGTATTGCAAAGTTCTTTCAAAGCACATTCTCGGAATTTACAATCTGGGTTGAAAGGTCAAAAATCAAGCGTCTAGAAATGATGAAAGAAGTCATTTCTTTTTGTCCCCCGCCATTCGAAGAAAGCAGGGGACTATTAAAATGGTTTCGTCCGTCTGTCTGTCCGTCCGTCCGTCACACTTTTTAGGACACAATAACTCTCCTTCTAATTGACCTAGAATGTTCAAACTTGGTGTAGGTGTTTATGAGGTCAATGCCTTGATAGAGTGCAAAGATGAGCATTTTCTGCTTATGGTAAGTAGAGATAAGCAATTTGATTGGTTGATGCTTTGGGGCACGATAACTTTAGTTCTAATTAAGTGAGAGTGATGAAACTCGGTGTATAGTTTCATCACATCAATACCTTGACTAAGTTCGATGAGAATTGTCTGCTTAGGGCAAGGAGCAATAAGCATTTTGATTGGTCAAGATTTTGGAACATAACAACTCTGCTTCTAATTGAGGTAGAATGTTTAAACTTGATGTAGATATTCGTCTTGACTTTGTTTAATGATTAACATATCGAGCTAAAGCTAAGCAGAGATAAGCAATTTGCTTGGTCGATGCTTTGGGACAAGATAACTTTGATTCTATCTGATAGAGAGTGATGAAATTTAGTGTGTAGTTGATAATCAGTTTGATTGCTCGATACTTTTGAAAAAAATAGATGTGCGATTAATTAATATGTGTCATCTATTTATTTAGGGATTTCGGCTAGGGACATCAGCCTCACTGTTGGCTTGTCTCCTATAACGAACTAGTTAGCGCCAGATGTCTAGACCATTTACTGTAACTGAATACGTAGCCTGCTGGCTCGTCTTTGGAGTGATATTTTTCAGAAAGCTAACATATGCCTTTCTATTTTAGGCTAATCTTAACTGCCGGGTAAATTCAGATTGCGTAATGTAAATGTAATGGATGTAATAATATCTAGGCCTATTCCAACCCATCAATTAAATTCTATTTTGTCCTGCGCCTTTCAAAAAAAAAGCAAACGACAATTAAGATGGTTTATGTCTGTCCGTCCGTCACACGTTCTGGGACATCATAACTCTCCTTCTAATTCAGCTTGAATGCTTAGCTTAAAATTGAACATTTACTAGTTCCCCCCCCCCCACTCTCATTTAAGAAACAAAAAAAATAATTCAAAATCGATTAAGAAATAAGCATGTTATTGCACTTTTATGACCCAAAATTGATCGATGTCAGTATACTTTTTTTTTGAAATTTGCAAATAATGTGACCGAAGACAATTTCTCAGCAACCATTGAAGATACAGGCATCAAATTTTCAGGAAACATCCTTCCAACCATTAAAGTAGCTAAGTCTCTTAACTCAATATCATCCAAAGTCTTACACGTTAAAAACACGAATTATTTGGTGTTGTGATCTTACAAGGAAAAGGTAGGCTTCTGATATCCAATATTTAAGACAAAATAAACAAATTGTGTACCATAGTGGGTTTCAGCGTCATTTGTAACAAGTGACCAGAAAAAACCAGGCTAGACTGTCATATTCCACAACTCATATCAAACCGCGACACCATATCTTATCTGGAGAGCATGCGCAATAGACTGGAATAACCAGACGCTAGAAATTGCCATTCAGTTGAGTATCATGTTGTATTTCGCTTGACATAGCCGATTTGAAATTAGTAATGCTGCAACGATACGCCAGGCCACGATACGATGCGCATCATGATTCATAGTCTATGATACGATTGATATCACGATATAGGAAATAAATTTTAAAAATGCTGTTTTATTTTGGCAGTCTTTCACTGTGAAATTCGAAGGCCTACTTTTATCATTTACATTAAATTTACATTGTTTTTACATTAAATTTACATTGTTTTCTCAGACAGCTGACTGGATTTCATTGCTGTCATGCTTAACGACAAATCTTAAAAACTCCCATACTTTACTTGTGACTTGTATACTTGGTATTGGGGATTTCGATTTCAATATTGCTTTTGTTTATCGTGCTACTTGAATTTGGTGAATTCATAATTAAAAGATTTCAGTTGGCAGACTCGTATTGCCACAACAATTTCAGTCAATGAAAAGCTTTCTTGTTGTCAGGTCAGTCATAGATTACTTAACGTTACAAATATTTTAATATCAAATATTAATATATTGAAAATGTGCTGATCAATGTGTGCAGCACATGTATGGACAAATTGCCATTCTTATGCTGTAATATTATCACAAATCGCATATTACAGACATATAATATATTAATAAGTTGTTTTTCTCCGCATATTGTTCAAGTGTGATTTGAACGAAACTTAATTTCCAGCATGACTTGCTTAACCAGGCTAATATTTTAATATTGACGAAATAGCTATAATAAGCCACGTCATGTGTCGAAAACGCGTTAACACTCGCTGTAAGTAAAAATAAAGTTATTTTGCTCATAGACTTATTTACGCATTTAATGGAATATCAGTCTATTTTTGTGAAATTATTTTTTGGATAACAAATCGCGATACAGCCATTGATTGTATCGTTGATTTTTAAAACATCGCGATTCATCGATGAATCGTTGCTGCCCTAGAAATTAGAGTCAAAACGGAAACAATTGAATGTATATCAGTTTATATACAATCAGATTACATTATTATATGCGTTGCGACCCATTTAGGGAAATTTCTATGTCCCAAATATTAGCGATTTAGCTCCTTTAACTATTTATTGGAATTTTTAAATTTCTTAAATAACAGAATATTAATGAAAGGCCGAAAATACATGTTTAGGTCAAAAGTATCAAAAGTTGTATTTTCTAAAAATAACATGGGATGCATAGTGGGTTGTTTCAGATTACTAATGTGTTTATATTATTATAAACTTTAGACTACATGTACGTATAGCATTTTTCTTGAGTTAAACAGTTGGAGTTAATGAGATATTTTAATATTACATATAAAAATAAAATAAAACCAAGTACGAACAATCAAAACCCTTAGACAATATAAGTCCTAAAAAAACGATATAGGCAAAATAGAGTAATCAGTCAAAATAGTGTAATCAGCATATGGACTGTTCACTGTGTACAAAATACACGACAAACAGTGGTAACAGGTGTCCTGAAGAGTAAGCTTACCCTGCCTGGCAGGTACCTAATACCGTTTTACTTGCCCATGTAAACTTCAAGCTAATTTGAGAAAAGCAATTGTTTTATAATTAACATTGGGGCCTACATGTAGTTATCATTTCCCCGGAGACTGAAAGTTTATCATTTATTATTATGATACATATACTTTTATATGACTTGCATGTGTAAGCTTATTGGAATTTACATAATTGGGATATTGGAATCATCAAGTTTGGGTCAAAGTGATTAATTTTGTAACTGTATTTGACTTCCTCTTCATATATAAATGCAACTCAGTTAAATTAAGTTTTTAACGGTTTATTTAAAGGTGCATTATGTAAGAGCTAAGTCTACCTATTACAGGTCATTAATAAATATATTCATTTTTCATAATCCATTTTTAAACTAACGATATTATATCAAGAATGTCCATCCCTTTATCCAAATGCATCTTTAACAATAAGTTACGTATACAAATGTAGAACCCAACTCCCACTTAGTTAAATAAAAATGTTGGAATGAAACAACCTTGGGTGGAATGGTTTTGGGATTAAGTACAACCACCACCTAAATAACACTACAGTTCTAAGCTATTCCCAGTGACGGTGGTTTGATTTCCACAAATCAATTAAAAATGAAATAACAGAAATCCATACCAAAACACAAAGTGGAATTTTCTAAGCTATTCCCAGTGACGGTGGTTTGATTTCCACAAATCAATTAAAAATGAAATAGCAGAAATCCATACCAAAACACAAAGTGGAATTTTTAAAATGTCTTGATTCTTTTGGGCACTCTTCTAATTGTCCCCCGCCTTTCGAAGAAAGCAGGGAACTATTAAAGTGGGTCCGTCTGTCTGTCCGTCACACTTTTTGGGACACAATACATGTAACTCTCTTTCTAATTGAGTAAGAATGTTCAAACTTGGTGTAGGTGTTTATTAGGTGAATACCTTGATGGAGTTCGAAGATGAACATTTTCTGCTTAGGGTAAGCAGAGGTAAGCAATTTGGTTGACGCTTTGGGACACGATAACTTTAGTTCTAATTAAGTGAGAGTGGTGAAACTTAATACCTTGATTAAGTTTGATAATGAGCATTTTCGACTCCGGGTAATCAGAACGACAAGCAATTTGATTGGTTGCGACTTTGGAACACAAAAACTCTTCTTCTAATTGAGTTAGAATGTTCACACTTGTTGTAGGTGTCTATTAGGTAAGTGCCTTGATGGAGTTTGAAGATGAGAACTTTCTGCTGAGGGTAATCAGAGATAACCAATTTGATTGCTTGATACTCTTAAAAAAAAAAATCTGCAATAAATTAATGTCATCTATTTATTTTGGGATTTTGGCGGGGGACATCAGCCTCACTGTTGGCTTGTTTGTGTCTGCTAAATGTAGGTCTCTAAGAATAAGCCTAGGCCTACTAATATTGATAATTGAACTAGGGCCTAAACCCCAAAAATTTGGGTTCACTGTTTGGGTTTCCTATCGAGTAACCACCCCTATCCCCCCAAATTTATAGTTGTTTATTAACTAAATTGATCATATCTTTGTCCATTCTTGCCCACCCGGTCACAACATGTTTTATAATTTATATTTCAGATGCCTAGACTAAAAAAGAAGTCAGCAGATGCAAAGAAGAAAGAGAAAAAGGAATATATGTTGAGGTGTAGATCGACATCTACACCTGAAGTAGAAAATACCATTCATACCGGTCCTTATCGCTCTGATATTGGCCCAAGTATGGATGGAGATGAAGATATTCATACAGGTTCTTATCGCTCTGATAT